GGCATAATTAATGAACAGTCCCTAAGTTACGATGATGTTCATTTAGCGAGAGTAAATCCATGCGAGAAAGTGCTTCGTTGTAATCAAGACCAGGACACATATTTGCTAACGCTCTCTTCTGTATACGTTCTAGTTCATGCGTTAGATACTTTGGTAGCAAATGGTAGAACACAGGCACAGCATAATCCAAAATGGATCTTATACATGTAGTATAGAAAAGCCCCAGATCTTTACATGGTACCTTGGCCATTTTTAATAGAACCAAGAAGTATAATCTTTTTGATGCTTTGTTTATTACTTCATTTATATGGTCTTTCCAAGATAAGTCACTCGAGATGGCTACACCTAATAACTTTGCACTTGTTACCACTTCTAGATCTTTTCCATCAACTTTAACTGTATAAAATACTTGTTTCTTTCTTGCAAATTAAATTCTGAGTTCTTTGAATTTGTCTGTATTTAACTGGACTCTATTATTGTGTGACCACACAGCTACTTTATCAGCAATAAGTTGTGCACTGCTGATTTCACCTTTTTGGACAACTTCTGATGTCCTCGTATCATCCACATACTTCCATACACAGGCATTGCTGAGTACCATGTCGTTGATCATCATAATAAACAATCAAGGCCCTAATTTTGTTCCCTGAGGGACTCCTGATGGAACTGAGCCCCATTCGGAGTAACAACCATCTGCTACTTTGATTCTTTGGAAGTGGTTACTGAGGAAATCAATAATCCAATTGATAATACTTGTTGGTAATTCTAAGTTGCATAGTTTGTTAACGAGAATGCTATGGTCATTAAGATTGAATGCTTTTTGATAGTCGAACAGGATCGACCTAACAGTAGTCCCATTGCCATCAGTTCCAATTATGAATCATACTCAGCAAGGCGATGGTAGTGGAGGATTTTGGGACTGTGCCATACTGGTTAGAGTCAAGGACTTTTAATACAGCAGGCTTCACAAAGTTACATACAACAATGTGCTCAGCAACTTTTGACAAACATGGTGTTAATGAGAGATGTCTCAGATCTTTCTTTAGGTTTCCTAAAGGTTGTTTCTTTGGCAAAGGTGTCAGATCAGCACATTTCCATATATCAGGTAAACGTTGTTGCTTAAAAAAAACTTGTCATCACTTATCACCACTGCAAGTACAGCAGTAGTGCAGCTCAACGGGGTCGAACTACGAGCTTGTGAAGGCGCCTCTGGCAGCCGCTATACAGTCCACATATGACCCCAGCTCTAACCAGTTTGAAGTAGTAATGGTTGATTTGAGAGGTGGAGGGAAAACCGGTGGACCAGAAAATACCTCAGAGTCAGAAAGAGAACCAACCAACTCATCTCACATGGGGTGACTGGGATTTGAACCCCGGACCTCAGAGGTGAGAGGCGAGCGTTTTACCACCACGCCATCCTGACTCATCCTGCTTAAATGACGCATTGATAATAGTTTTCACGGGAAAGGCGAGTGACTCAACATATTCCTTTAGAAGGCAGTTGGTAATACCATCAGGATCTGAGGCATTAGCTGGATTAAGGCTTGATAGTAATTTAAAAGTTCTTTCTTGAAATACCTCTAGAAACTCTGGGTAGTCCTCTAATGGCAAAGGACTGAGCAGACTGTGCAGTCTGTATTCCTCTAGAGGCTCGATCAAGGAAAGCCTTGTTGATAACATTGGCTATTTCCAGGGTAGACAAACCATCAACTTCATCAACTTCATCAACTTCAGAAACTCCATACATACAAGGTCTCCCCTTAAGCTTCCTTGGCAGGACCAGCTCACCTCTCTCTTGTAAGAATTAGAAATGAATGCTCTCTAGGTGAAAGAATAGACCTCTTTAGCTTGAGTGTAATGTTTTACCCATTTCAGATCATGTGTCATTCCCTTAAGTATTATTTCTTTGTTTGGATGCAAATTAAATAAGTAACCTATTCAAAGAATTGACAATTGTGGTCTTAAATGGGCAAATTACGAATGCCCAAGCAATTAAGAAAAATTATATTTTATGTTACAAAAGCAAAAGAAATCTTGGAGGAATTTTTCCTACACGCCTTTCTGCTGTTACACCATGCAATTTTTAAGTAAGCTTGAACTGGTTTATGATTATTGCTTTTATTGTGTTTTTATTGTGCTTTACAAAACTTGCATTTCTTCATGCTTTTTTAGGTACTATTTTTATGTATTTTATACTTTCAGGATCTTTTTGTGACTTTAATGTCTCTTAAAGTGTATATGACATGAAAACATTTCATCGTTTAAAATGTATAGTTTGTTAATAATAATAAATATATCCTAATGAAATGTTTATTTTTTGAGATATGTGAGAAAATTAAGCCCAATTTGTGATGT